AGTTAGCAATAAGTCTGGAAGCTGTACTTCCCCTCAAACAACAGAAAAACTTTTTGCTAAACTTCCACCTTCTCTATCCAAGAAAGTTGAAGAATCATTTAAAGCCAGGTACCCTGGTCTAAGTTCAGGAGTTCTGCCTGCAATCAAATTCACTCATACTTTCATCTCAGAAATGTGCAAAGAGATGCGGCGCTTGCCAAAGAGCTTAGAGATTTATCTCTTTGTTCAGCCATACCAATTCCTGGTTATTACAAAAACAACAGGAAACAGTATGGAATGAGGAAATCAAAGACTTACAAAGGAAAGCCACATGGTTCTCATGTAAGCCATTCAAAGAAAGTACAAAGAGACAGAGGACGAGTCAAGAAATGCAAATGCTTTATTTGTGGAAAGGAAGGGCATTTCGCAAAAGATTGCAAAAGAAGCAAGGAAACATTGCAAGGATCAGCTGTCTATCAAGAACTGGATCTTGATGATAACTGGGACATTGTCTCAGCAGACTTTGATGACACCGGTGTCTATAGTATATCAGAAGGAGAAGGCGATACCCATCAAAGCATCAGTGTTATGGTCCAAGATACTCCATTTAAAGAAGCAACTTTCACAATAACACATGAAGATAATGAAAGTAGCAGCGAAGATGAAAGAGAGGATATCCAACATAGTCATTATGCTTTCATTTTCCATCCAGGACCACCAACAAATAGCAGATATGGTTCAATCTGTAGGATCGTGGAAACCAAGCAAAGAATTTCAGCTCAAAGTAAAAACTGTGAGCATGATTGGGAAAAAAACAGTCACAAATTACACGATCTGTTATTACTGTGGAATACTAAAACCACAGACATGTCAAGACTTAACTGTCCCAATTGCCAACTCACAACATGTGCTCTTTGCGCCAAAAATTATCTTGGCAAAACAGTTACGTTAAGAAAAAAACAGCAGATTAAGCCGGAAGAAGAAGTGACTTTACCAATAGGGAAATAAAGCTTCTCAAAAAACTTTGGAAAGAGAAGACGGAGCAAATGCAAGCAGATGATTAAGGATCAAGCCAAAGGAGTTTTTATGAAACCAAGGCAGAAATAAAAAAGAGAGAGGAAGCATGGCA